CCCCCCCCCTCCCGAATCGAAGGTCCGCTCGGATTTCCTTGCGAGAACGTTGAACTCCGGTTCTCTCCCCTACGTTTCGTCCACCTACGCGCGCACGCGGGGTTCTTTTCAGAATTTTAGAAGAGTATTTTAGAGAATGACATCGTGGAACGTAACACGGAATAGATATATATATATATATATATATATATGTTTGCAGATTGTTCATTCGTAACTCACGTCCACGCAGTGTGGGGCTCCATTTAACACCTCAGACGCAATATCGCCAAGCGGCTGCGATTGTTTACGTTGTTGCTTTCATTCGGTGCCTCGCTCTTATCGATGGCCGCAAAAATGAGGCTCATTAATTATGCTTAAATCGAGTGGCGTCCTTCGACTATGACCGGTGTGTCGTGTGCGTGTCGTACGTATTGTAGCGACGAGACAAACACTCGAAACGTCCACGGCGTATATCGCCGTTTCGGCGAGAACGATGCTCTCGTTATCGGGAACGAGATGCACTCGAAAACCATCCCGTAATCTGCCAGCTGATTATTCCGTCCACTCCTCTCTGCCATATATTTGTTATACATGTTTCTTTTTCTATACAGAGTGTGATTCATTATTTTGATTATTGCATCTACTCCTTTCTATCACTTATATATACAGATGTGTCTGTAACAGATATAGGGTAACTCCGGTATATACGCCGCACCTATCAACAACTTAATTTATTAAGTATTATTTACTATGTTTAAAATAAACGAACTGTATCAGTAAAAACTTTGTACTGTCTACTACTATGAAAAAAATATTAGAAATCCGAAATATTTAGTTTTCGTATTAAAAAATAAACTTTTTGAAATCTTGCATTTTTGCTATATATAGATAATGGGTGGGATATATGGCAAAAATGCAAGGGTTTCAACAAACTAAACAAGAAATACGAAAGCAAAGCACTTGTATTTTGTTACACAACATGCTTTACTATTCCTCTACACGTATGTATCACGAAATAACCATTAGATTATAATTGATGATGATGCTACTTGTTACACACACAGTGACAAATCGATTCAACTCACAATAATTTCATTAATATTAACAGTAAGAAATTATAACTCAATATTAATATAACATAAAGGCATGTAACAGAGTAGTTGCGAGAAAATTACCTCTACTCCTTCTATTTTTTCTGACCTCCGCGGCGTAAATCCCAGCGCGGCGTACATACCGGAGTTATCCTATCTGTTACACATGTCTCTTTTTCTAAACAGAGTGATTCATTTTGATCTTAACAGACAAATATTTCGAAAATATACAATTTTATCAAAGAATGTTCCAAATAAAAGTTGTGTAAAAATCATTCCATATATAACTTTGGTAAAATTGCATATTTTTGCCTGTTAAGATTAAAATCACCCTATATATCGCTTATTTACTACAATAACGATATAATTAAAAAATTGTCATTTTTTAATTGTTTATAAAAAAAATGGCAATATAAGAAAGAAAAAAAGGAAAACTATTCACTTTAAAATTATATACTTTTATTCTTCTATAATCAATTATTGCATCTAAATTGCATTTCGAAATTAATATTACAAGATTTTAATGATTTAAAATATTTAAACTTATTTTCTGGAAAACTTGTTTTTTAATTGTGTTGTAGCAAATAAGCGATATACCTATATGTAAGAAGTTTATCGTGTATTTACATTTTTTTGTATGCCTGAATAATAATTCATGGATGATTTATTTGAAATATGTAGTTATAATTATGTAATAACAACTGATTTTTACACAGTCTACGCGATAGTGATTAATTTACATTTTTTTTGGTTTACGTATCGCTTTTGCAAAAGGAATTTGAACGTTATCTAATGAAAACGATGACTAATGATTGAATGACTTGCAACTAATGAGGATGATGGATCTTGATTCGATCTAATGCTTTGAAGAAACGTAAATCTAGTAGTTCTCTTTGGTACCGTAATAACATATAAGAAAAATTTTATTAATGTAGTAACTGATTGAATATATATTAATAGCTCATAAAATAAGTAGAACTGGGTCAAATAATTACATATTCATTAAGTATTAATATTTATATTGGTTACGTTCAGTAGAAAAAACAATTTTGCAATTGTGTTATAAGATTTAATGTATTAAGTTCTGCCATTAGTTCTTTCTGGATTTAAATATATTAGGCTCTCTATGCTGCATTCTTGGAATTGAACACGCTCGCAAGTGCGAATGTTTGAATTAATATTTGAACATCGCTGATGATGGCTCGAACGGAGCCAAAACGGTCGATTTTGTATAAACACATGTAAGGTCTAAGAAATACAATCTACATATAACGCTCGAATAACTGCGTCATATTTATACTTGCAATCGCCTGAATTAATTTTTAATTATATTTATTTAAATATATTATTCAATTACATTAAAAAATCTTACTGTAAAAAAAATCTGGTTGCATTAATTAGAAATTTGGTTTAAAATGGATAAAGCAGAATTTTGTGGTTAAATCAATTATAATTCTAAAATCAATTATAGTTGAGATAACCAGAATTCTAATTGATATGATTAGAATTTTCTGGCTCGTGTATCCTCAATTAGAAATTTTTTTGTATAGCAGCAGAGCTGCCTTTTTTGCTAAACGCAGTTAATCTTTGTACTTTGCATCTGTATTTCTTCAAAAGCAATTTTCTTTTTTTATTCCTTTACGATGTCTACTTTATTAATTACAACAAATAATAAATACCTATTCAACATTGAGTTTGCGTACAAATTTAGTTATATTATCATTGCAAACGAATGTAAATTTATTTTATTATTTATCTTGTTGCAGGTCCTTTTACAGGAGGCCCAGTCACATCATATATAAAATTAATTAATCCAACGAATAAAAAGGTATATTTTAAAATAAAGACTACTGCCCCAAAGAGATACTGTGTACGTCCAAATTCTGGTGCTCTCAAGCCAAAGGATGTCACTGAAATAGCAGGTTAGTCTACAGTATCGAAATTAAAATTATAAATTTTATTTTGTATATTTAAAGTTCCATAATTCTTGTATATATTTCTTAGATGATATTATTTAAATTTAGAAAAGGTTCTTTTATAGTTGAATATCATGTTTTGTTACAGTATGCTTACAACCGTATGATTTTGATCCATCGGAAAAAAATAAACACAAATTTATGGTGCAAACTGTGGTAGCACCAGATGATGATGATGATGAATATCCAATTGATGTGGTAAGAGAGTATAACTATATTAAATATTGATAATCGATAATTAATATAATAATATTAATTAATATTAATATTGATAGTGTGATTGATAGTGTAACAAGAGTATAACACTATATATTGAAACTAATAATATATTAAGTAAATGTTACTAAACAAAGTAAACATATTTCTTACTATTTTAATAATTCTCTTTAATTTTAATATTAAATAATGATTTATAATAATTATGTACATTGTTTTTTTTTTAGTGGAAGGATATAAATCCAGATCAGTTAATGGACTCTAAATTGAAATGCGTTTTTGAAAATCCCGTAATTAACACCACTAGTAGCACGGTTAAAATGACTGCAACTTCCACAACAACTAAGGCGGATTCTAATGCGACTAATGGAAAGAACAAAACAGTTGGCGATTCGGTCAAATCGTCGCCTAAGGTAAGATATTAAGTATATTGTTGTATCGACAATAATAATCATTTGCTGTGGCGGCTTTAAACAATGATTCTCTCGCCAGGTTCTTGGTGAAGCAGAAGAGAAACTTATTAAAGCTGCGCAAGAGGTTAATCAGCTTAGGGTAGAGGAAAGCACGCTTAGGCAGGAAAATCTTCAACTTAGGGCAAGTATTTACAAAAAATCAATTGTTACCCAGACCTATATTTTTTACAACAGTTTTATCGATTTGTATAAAGCAAACTTGTTGCGTTTGAATTTGTATTAGCCGAATATTTGCCTTAACACATTTTTGATATTAAATTACTCAAATATTAAATATTAATTATATTACATTGACAATCCTGCAGTATTTCTACATATTCTAGAAATGACTTAATAAATTGTTAATATAAATTTTAATTAAAAAAATGTTGCAAATTAAAAAATCGTGAGGAATCTGTCAATATATGGTCTGTTTTGTCTGCAGGAAGATTTAATGAAGTGGCGAAACGCGGCGCTGGGCAATGATGGTAATCTTGCAGCAGCCAGAGGACTAACCTCGCAGAGCAATAGCCAGTTATCTCCGACATCAACTAGTATCCTCATCGCCTTCGCCATGGTTATAGTCGGCTACTTGCTGGGAAAACTAATCTGAACAGCCTTTATCTTATTGTATACCTCAGTGTATCCCCACCGCCCCCAAGTTTTTTTAGCCTGTCTTCTGCCGTCATATACCATCGTTCGATCGCAGGCACAGACTCCAAACGTTGCGTTACTCGAATGTTCATAATAAATGCTATAAACACGGACGGTAGTGGTCTACATTAATAGGATTGCTCGTTACGGGTGTGTGCTTAATCTGATAAGATGCTTGGTTTAAAATTTATTCTATATTTTATTTATTTTTTTCGTCTTCTTTCTAAGACCATGATTAGAAGACGCTAAGTAATGCTCAGTTTATGTTTATCACATAATGTGGTTAGATTCTTTTATGCTTGTAAAGGGATTTTTGCTCTGTAACTTGCTCCTTAAAATAGCGTTGAGCAAAATGTGCACCCGCGAATAACGAATCATGATTTCGTATTTATAAATACATATTCAAAATATTCGTCAGTCGCATTGCTCAACGCTTTTGAAATCTTATTCGCTACTGGGAATATAAGTTACCACAATTACTGATTGTTATTGCACTCTTTCTCAAATTTGTACACCACTTATTCGCAATAGGCCGAACCGTGCTGGTGCAAAAAATCACACACGAACGAGTGAGGATGCTATTACTGTCATAGCATCTTTCTCTACGTAATATAACTTTTACGTCACATAAAAATCATGTTGTACAATCGGAAGAGCAGAAATAGTCCAGTTGCTGGTATACGCTGCGTGAGAACGGTTGTTACCCAAGTTCGCTCGATTTGCACTGCTTCGGTGCATCCGCGCCGGGCACCGTTCTCGTTCCCCGTTGTACATATTGTGTCCATTTGAAAATATATATAATACACATAGTCGGGGGGATCGGAGGGGGAAAGAGGAGGATAGAGGTGGGGCTGGCTGATGAAGAGTAGTGGTTTATGACCCAATAATTGGTTGTGCTGGTAGTTGTATTCTGCCAGCGTTGGTATTTTAAATGAAAAAGATAAAAGAGAGAAAGGGAGAGAGAAAGAGAGAGCGAGAGAGAGAGAGAGAGAGAGAGAGAGAGAGAGAGAGAGAGAGAGAGAGAGAGAGAGAGAGAG